TAATGTAAATGGGGTACCCACTTTTGTCTCGCCCAGATTAACTATAACTAAATACAATAATTCTAGATACGAGTTAGCTTCTGGTGAAAGTAAAACTAATAATTGCTTACTTAAAAAATTAAAAGTAAACAAAGTCAATGTCATAAATAAAACCGCTTCTTCATCCAGAAATATGATTTCCTATTTTAAATAAATTTACATTATGGCTGACATTGGACGTATTTATCCTTTTCCAGATATCAGAAAAGCTCCCACTTTAAAGTTACAACTGACTTCGTGTTATTGGAATGTTTGATATGCATCTCGATTTTATTTACTTTACAGGAACGTGAAATGGAAATGTCTCCCGAGTATTTTACCTATGCGGCTGAACACTAAACATAATTTTGGAAATTTATTTCTCTTTTTAAAATAAAAAAAATATTTTATATCGCACAAGTTTTCTTACATTACCAAAATTTAAATATAGCCTGTTTTGTTAAATTATGGTTAATTTTTTTTTCCTTTAACTAAACTTCGTTAAAATTAATAACTTTCATTAAAAAACTGCTGTGAAGTTCCGAGATAAAATAGAAATTAAATTAGCCGGGAAAACTTAGTTGATTAACTCTATTATTTGTTGTTTTGTCGTTAAGGAGATAAAAAAGTCTCCGCCGCCATGAATTTAATTTTTACTGCTAATAAATTAGTTCCTGAAGCTTGACAGACCGCCTTTATGCAGCAATTACATTTTACTCTGCTGAAATACGTCGGTATTTTATTTTTTATAAATTTTTTAAAACATAATTTAATGATAAATATGTTATAAAATTGCAATTTTACTTTTTATATATAAATTATATCTGCTCAATAGTATAATAAATTAATAGAGCTCTAATGCGCGAATAACAACGATTATAATTATTAATTACACAAACTAACATAAAACAAAAATGTGGTAATGCTATACTGTACCAGGTTTGATTTTATTTAATTGACATAAATTTCCGGTATATTTATTAAATATTTATATTTTATATACATGACAAACATTAACAATGTATTTTGAAGAAATACACAATGTTCGAAGTTCGAGCCAAACCTCACCTAATCTCACTTGACCTAATTTTTTTCGAAAGAAACAGTGTAAAATTGCGAGAAAACTGGGTTAAATTAAGTAAAAAAATTTTCACCGTGTATGCTACGTTTAACTAATAACATTAGAAATCTCAAATTATAAACAAATTGTTTTTTTTTAATAAATCTAATGAAAGCAAGCAGATTAACTTATTTACATTAAAACTATGCATTAAAAAAAACTCACGTGAGATAAAGGGAGGGGGAGGGGGTCCAGCAAAATCTCACGAAAAATCGCCAAAATTGCCTCACGTAATTAATGGATGCCCCCTAATCAGAAAAAAATTTTTGGTATTAAGTATTATTTGTTTAAAAAATTACGTACTTTAAAATAAAGAGAATTTCAGTTTTTACACACATCTGGGGAAATTTTTTTCAGTGACGCCCTTTTTATAAATCCTCTTTGTCTTTTGTACGTATTTCCTTTGTAATTACAAACTTTTTCATAGCCTTTTTACATAATTATATTTAAACTCACTGTTTTTTTGTTGCATGATTTAATGAAAGTCGTCATAAATTGCCTATTTTTCATTTGAAATTAAAAAAGGTTAATATAATCTATTAAAGCGTTCTTTCACCAAGTAACTTGAAATTTAAAAACTTATAAAAGAATAATTGATTAAATGCTCCCTTTTCAAAATAGACTGTTTAAAATCGGTTATTTGACTTAGTAAATATGCCTCATAAAATGTAACATAAAAAAACGTTGTAAATATACGTTTTCCAAAGCAGACAAATGTATGTTTTTTTATTGCTTATAAACTAATAAATAAGAATAAAATAAAATAATACATTAAGATACTTTAATATGCTTTAAGAAAATAATATATTATATTAAATTGTATTATATAAAAAGAACAACCTTACGGGAATTACATTTTTTTTTGTGTAGTTTTTATGAAAAGGCTGAATTTCCCAGTTTATTTGTTGAAAAGTTTATATTGCTTGCTCGACAAAATCCAGAGTAATGCCTAAATAAAAGCAAAACCTTTAGGAAAAACTAACCATTGTATAAGGAAAAGGAAAAAATTACTTTGAGACAACTTTTTCATTATAAGATTCGACATTTGTAATTTAAATTAAAAAATCCAAACCTTTTTAAAAACAAAACCTATGGTGTCCCGAAAATTGTGCACTAACGCCATACCAAGCGGATAGCTGTGGATATAAAAATAATCTAATCAAATAATTATCGTTCTTTAATCTTAATTTTTTAAAATTTCCAAAACAGTTGAAGATAGGTATAGGACATTGTACATAAAATATGTCTTTAATTTTTAGAAGAATTTAATAATATACAGGGTGTTGCATTTGAAATAAGAAATTTTATATTAGCCACTTTTACATGACGCACCCTGTACTAAAAATATCAATCGATCTGTCCGAACTTTTGTTGGAGTACGCCCCATGTATTATGTATTATCGAATTTATTCCATTTGGCTTTAAGCTATGGTTGAACTGTAGGTGACGACAAGCAGACAGTCAGTTGTGCGCCTCGGACTTGCGTTGAAATCTAGGAGACAAGAAGACGCGTAGCCGGTTTGTTAGAATCTGCTTAAGCACGGCGTTCTCTAATAGATAGAGAACGCCGTGGCTTAAGGGACTCACGGTAGGCAGAAAATTATGTGCGTTTATGTTTCGGTCGGAATCAAACTCCATTTGATTTCAACGGAGTCGTTCAGTTGAGCTTACAGTGACAGTATTTAAAGAAGCCGTTATTTTAACGAATTTTAAAATGACAACCAAGTTTTCATCAGAGGAAGACGAGAAATTGATTAATCTCGCACGAGAACATCCCCCATTGTACACTGTTAAAACTAAAAGTTACAAGGACAATAATATAAAAAATAAAATAAATACTAATAAATGTTTTTTGTCTGCACCTACAATTAGGCACGGTGTTCTTAAAGGCGCGATAAGTATAACAAAAATCACGAAAAAATCTGTTGGGTGGGATTTGTTCCTCTTTTTTTCTAGTTTTCAGATATGTTTTCACTAGTAATACCACTAGAGGTCAAATTATTTCCGGAAATTTTTTCGAGCTCATGAATATTTTGAAAATTATCCCGAGTCGAAGACGAGGGATAATTTTCTAAAAATATTCATGAGGGAGAAAAAATTCCCGGATTTAATTTGACATCGTGTGGTATTCGGTAAGAAAATTCCACACCAAATTGTGTTTAAATAATTAAAATTTATTTTTTGATTTAACTTGACCTCGACTTGATTATTTAGTTACCATGGCAACTAAGTCAACCCCAACCTAAAAGTTATTTCAGTTTTGAAGCTGTCAAGCGGCACGACGTAAAAAAATGTGAAATTGTCTGCTGTAATGATCAATCATCGTGCAATGACTTATTTACCCGCATTATTAGAGGATTGTGGCTCCTACTTGAAGAAAGAAAATTTGTTTTGAATTGTTCACGAATATTTGCATCTTAACTATTCAAAACTCAAAGTGCTAAATGGAAAAAAAGGTGAATAGAATAGTGTCTAAATATTATATATATTTCATTAGACATAGACATTTAATTTATTTCAAGTCCTGCATTTTCGCCATTAAGAAGAAAGGAGGTGTCCAACGAATATAGAAAACATCTAAACTTTGTAATGGAAATGTATCAAAATTATCATGTAAACAAATAAAAATCAGATTGTCAAAAAAATATTCTGTCATTATAAACGTCAAAAAATTTCCAGTATAATTCGCTGTTGGGTACCCACGAGGAAAAAATTTCCACTTAAATTCAACCGTTGTCATGGTGATCTATGAAAAATACACGTTTTGATTGGTTAAAAATTACAGGTGTGGAATTTTCATCAAAATCCTATTTGCTCGGTTTTTTGAGTTATGTCATTTTTTTGACATTTTTGAGTTATGTCATCGCTTTGCATATTTTGTAAACAAGCTTTCCGTCAAGTATTTTGAAACTAAAAAAAACCTGAATAGTACTGTAGGTACTATTAGTACAGGAGTTGAAAACCCAACCTAAAGATACCTTTTTATTTGTAAGTATATTTCCAGAACTGATCACAACCAAGTAAAATAATTTTGTAGTTTTAAAAATGCCTCCCAAATGCCCCCATAAAGAAAACAGAGTGAAGGTTTGCGCTCCTTGTGGTACAAAAATCATTTTTGGAAAGAAAAAAGCAGCAGACTATCGTATAACTGAAAAATGTGAATCATTAATAAAACGTTTTATGAATCCTGATTTTAAAGCATCTGATTTAAAATGTCCATCGAGCATTTGTACAACATGTCGTTTGATCCTTTTTGAGCACGAAAAGCAACAAACCCGAAAACCTTTACCGAAAATGCCCAATTACACAGATATAATTTTACCAGCAACAACACGCTTAAATAAAAGTGACCAATGTAATTGTTACATTTGTTTAACCGGAAGATCCACCATACATCCTAAAACTCAGAAAGGCCGAGGTCATTCTAAAGATACATCTATAAATATCGAGAAATCGAATGGACTTTATGGCAGCTCAAGCAACACAAAGATTCTAAGAGCAACTGAATATGAAGAAGACAAAAAAACTTTAAAAACTTTAAAAACTTCATTAACTTTATGTAATGCTTGTTATCAAGAAGTGGGCAAAGGTAAAATACATTCTTGTGGAACTCTATTAACGGCTCGTAAAAATGTTATGAAAATAGTTGAAAATCTTCCGGCAATACAACAAGAGCAAATTGCAAGTTCTGTTATAAAAAGAAAAATTGACGCTGAAAAAAAAACTGATTTAACCATAAGCACTCTGGGTAAAAAACTAAGAATCTCAGTAAACGAAAAAGAACGCAAAGAAGCTACATTTACTGTCGAGCGACTGGACAGTTATCAGGTCAGTACAGGTGTTTCAAACAATCATGAAAAAAATGACTAATTTTATTAGAAGTAATATTGGTAGATATGCGGTACCCAAAGAATACCTAACTCATATTTCTAAAACAGCAAAAACTTTGGAAAATGTTTATCATGAGGGCGTTTTTAAATTTGATGTTGAACATAAATCAACTAAAGAAGAAAGGCCTGTCATTTGGGCTGATGCTCAAGAACTACTGGATAATGTTGTGGAATACCGAAATTTGATTGGACATTGCAATGTGAAAATAACAGCGGATGGTGGGCAAGGATTTCTTAAAGTTTGCATGTCTGTTTTTCCAAGAAAATCAAATATAGAAGAGATAGACCCAGAATCGAATGAGATAGACTCCCAACCTAAAAAACGTACTTTGTATTCTGAAGGGGGTACTTGCAGTAATCAAAATAAACTAACCAGTGTTAGTAAGTTAATAATGGTTTGCATTGTGCCACAAATCAAAGAAACTTACGAAAATATGCAATTATTGTTTGATCTGGTAAAACTAAATCAAATTTCGTTTAAGTTTGTTTCAGACTTTAAGTTACTTTTAATTGAACTAAGAATGTACAATGACCATGATATTTTAAGAAACAAACAAGACAATAAATCGTATAATACAGCCCAAGATGAATCAATAAAAAATAATCTTAAAACTTACGATGATTTAAAAAAGGATTATCAACAATTTTTGAATTTAAACAAAGATAAAAAATTCGCAAAACAATGTCACAGTACCATAAATCCACCGCTTTTTGAAGAAAACCAGAGCGTTTCTGTGATTGAAAAATGTGTTATTCCTGAGTTACATGTGCTGCAAGGGTTTGTAAACCATTTATTTTGGAATGGAATAGTTGCTCTTGTTGGAAGAGAACAAGCACTGAAATGGCCTGAAAAGATTAATGTTGTCTCAAAGCATTACCAGGGAGACATTTTTGAGGGAAATGCTTGCCGAAAGCTAATTAAGGAAGCCGATAAACTAATGGACAGTGAGATTACCAAAAATGTTGGTCCTTTAGCACTCGTTCCATTTGTGTCGGCCTTTAAGGCTATGGACAAAATTGTCCAGGCATCTTTTTCGACTGAAAAACTGTATGAAAATAAATTAGAAAAATATATTAATGACCTAAACACTGCTTTTAAAGCTACCGGAATATCCCAAACTTTGAAAATTCATGTTCTTCTTAGTCATCTAAGAGAAAGTTTAAGTATTTTGGAAGATGGGTTAGGTTTGTGGTCGGAGCAATCTGGAGAGTCAGCTCACAGAGAATTTTTAAAACACTGGGAAAAGTACAAAGTAAATTCCTTTGCACATAAGTCTTACTTATCAAGGTTAAAAATGGCAGTTGTGGAATTTTCTTCACGCCATCTCTAAAATTGTGTAATTTTTGGTAAAATTTCAAATTATTTTTGTTTATTTTCTTTGTCGCATAGTTAAAAATAAATTTATTTCGTATTTTTCTTTTTTTTATTCGTATTTTTATGGATTTTTTTATTTTTAATGTAGTAGACATATGTATTTAAGTCCAGTTGCAACTGGGTTTTAAAAAAACGCACATACATTAACCGCGAAGAGTACAAAAACGCATTATAGCATTATAGCTTGCCTGAGGGAACGCGATAGGATGTTCAAACTGTTAAAATCCGAAAAAATTAAATAACTCAAAAAACCAAGCAAATAGGATTTTGATGTAAACATATCTGAAAACTAAAAAAAAAGCAGAACAAAACCCTTTGAACAGATTTTTTCGTGATTTTTGTTATACTTATCGCGCCTTTAAGAACACCGTGTAGGCACTAAATCACCCATTGTTATGATATGAAAGTTTTACCAAAATATTAATAAATATTTGTTGTCTGCACCTACCAGCATATAAACTATTTCAATTATAACAAAACACCCTCTCAAAATCGAAAAAGTTGAACGCTACAGATTCTGCTAACCGCGTAAGTTGTCTGCGGCGCACAGTTCTAACTAGGGGTGTCAATCCCAGGATCCCGAAATCCCGGGGTCCCTGGATCCTGTAAAAAATCCGATCCCGAAAATCTCGGGATTAAAAGTCCCAATCTCGGGATCTTAGTAATAAGTTACAAAGCATAAAATTGACATTTTTCATATTATAATACTCATAAGCATATATATATAATCACTTCATTTTTGTACTCACTTTAAGTCAAATTATTATACACCGCCGTACAATAAAGAAAATACATTGAAATTACATAGCAAGAGTGGTTCCATCTATAGCATAAAATCAGCAAAGAAAATGTAAAATTACAGGTCACTGTAGAATAAATTTATGTATTTATGTACATAACCTATAATATAACATATTTCAAACGTCAAAACTGAAAAAATGTCACAAACTTGATAATTTCAATGTAAGTTACAGCCCCAATTGGAATTCACCAAGGCCCAATTGATAAAAGAAATGGAATTATTTGTTAATGGGGGTAAACGTGGAAAGATATCGTTCGTTAGTTTGTTTGTTGCTTTATTTTAAATTGGTTTTAAAATTAATGATATATATTTTTTCAGGACTGATCCCGGGATCCCGGGTTTAGTTACCTTTGGTCCCGAAAGGCCCGGGATTGGAAAATGGGTAGGGATGTCAATCCCGGGATCCCGGGATCCCGAAATCCCGGGATCCCGAAGAAAAACCTGTCTCGAAAATACCGGGACAAGATTACCTAATCCCGGGATTAATACCGATTTTTATGCATATATTAATTATCTTCCTGACGCTATTTCAAAACTAAAGTTAATAACGCGAAAGCCGACAACGTTGCAACCTGCAATCTGAAAACATGACGCACACTTAAACCGGAATTTGGGGAGTCACCGCGGCAAAATAATTATAATTTACTTGCTTAAATTGTCTAGATGTTGTATTGATTATTCTATTCTAATTTGTTAATTATTGTGTAAAATGGATCTCACGTGCCAAGAGGCTAATAAAGAAAAAGGTAGGTAATGCATGATTTTAATTTTAATACTAAAATAATAAAGGACCCCGCACAAAACTAATGGGAGTTTGGATATGTTGTAGTTTATGATCTATTGATAAAAAGTTCTTTAGGTACTAAGAAAAAATATTGAACAGATTTCGAGCTATTGAGGTTAGAAGGTCACGAATCGATTACACAGCCCCAAAAACACACGTCTTCACTTTAGTGTTTGTTTCTCATTTTGTTCTTGAATTTGACCCGACGGGGTCAACTGGACCCTGGATTCGCATTCAGCGACCCTAAAAACGTATATTCATAATAGTTGTCCCCGCTTTTTTCATTTTGACCTTAACCCTGACCGAATGGGATCAAACAGACCCCGGATTCATACATATTGTAAAAATGGTACGCAGTCAAAATTTAAAAAATCACCAAAGCGGAAACAACTTAACCTTTTTGGATTCGGGTCAAATTCAAGAACGAAATGAGAATAAAACACTAAAGTGAAGACGTGTGTTTTTGGGGTGGTTGAATCTGAATCTGGGGTTCATTTTCAAATTCAAGACCCAATTAAGTCAGGATCAAGGTTACTTCAGGGTCAAAATGAAAAAATACTTAATCCATATTGTTCTTGAAATGACCTTGACCCTGACCTGATGGGATCAAACAGAGCCCGGATTCATAAATATAGTATAGATGGTACTCGTCTACTCCAAAAACGTTTAGTTGTTTTCGCTTTGGTGTATTTTTTCATTTTGACCTTGACCCTGACCTGATGGGGTCAAATGACCACGGATTCGGATTCAGCGAAAACGTAAAGATATTCTGGTCTAGTCCGGTGTACAGAAAAAGTTTTTTTTGTGGGGCTGTGTAATTATTTATATGCAAATCAAGCTGACTTTATAGAGGCAAATCGTGACCTTCTAAACTCAATATCTCGGAATCTGTTCATTATTTTTTCTTTGTGCCCATTAGTTTTGTGCGAGGTCCTTTATAATTTATTTATTTAGTTATTTAGAACATTTCGATAAGTATTTTAATATATAAATTCCAAATAAAAAAACTTTATTATTAAATGAATACAGAATTTTTAATGTTTTACTAAATATGGTGTCAGTCTGTGTCAGTATCTTGCAAAAAGATTGAAACATATTTTTTTACAGATGCAGATATTTCAACTGTGGATTCTGGAACAAAAATAACTGCCAATACTATACTACTACTCTATATGTTCCACATAAGACTCTTATGATAAGAGAAAAGCAAATGAGAGCGATTCCGTATGGTTTTATTTTCTCATTGAAAAAGATAGTGGACAAACAGCAAAATGTAGGCGCTGGCAAGCAATCTTGAAAACAAAGGGAGGCTCCACCAAAGGTTTAATAACTCATTTAAAAGTCCATAAAATCGATCTTTTGGATAAACGTCTTAACCAATCGCAAGATGGGCCAAGTGCTGGGACAAGTAAAATGGTCGAAGTTGTTGGTAATAATCCACCAAGCAAGCAAAAAAAAAAATACTTTCTTGTGTATAAGAATGATAAGAGCTTTGAAGCTATTGTAGCTCGTATGACCGCAGTAGATGGCTTACCGTTTTCTATTTTTATTAATTCATCCGATTTAAGACAATTGTTGAAAGCACGAGGTTTTCATGTTCCAAAATCTCGATATACCATAAAAACTAATGTAATGAGGTACTTTGAAAAAAATCGGAACAACACTGTCGAAGAAATTTACCAACTAAAAACAAAAGGTGAGAAATTCAGTTTAACATTTGATGAGTGGACATCAACTTCAAATAAACATTTTATGAGTATGAACGTTCACAAAGGGGAAAATTTTGAAATTTAGGACTTGTAAGATTAAAAAATTCTTTGACGGCTACAGCGATTGTGGAATATTTGGAAAAACGACTCCTGGCTTTCCAATTAAACCTGTCTAAAGATATTGTGGCTGTTACAACAGACGGAGCCAGCACTATGGTTAAAGTAGGCAAATTGATTACACCTATGCAACAGTTGTGCTTTGCACACGGTATTCAGCTGGCTGTCATTGACGTCCTCTATAAAAAAGATGGGCCTGTGCCTCCTCCAACTTCTTCAACATATTTCAAGGAGGATCCTAACTTTAGCGACAGCGAAGCCGAAATTGAGTACGAAGACTGCGAAGAAACTGGAAACATGGACATGAATGACAGGATAGAAGTGTGTGAAAACAATGACTTTTTAGAACTATCAAATGATCATGACCTCTACATATTGATATCAAGAATTAGAAAAACTAGTCGCATGTTTAGAAAATCGCCAACAAAAAATGATTTACTACAAAAGCAAATTAGGAACGATCATGTGAAAGAATTAAATTTATAATAAATTGTAAAACCAGATGGAGCAGTTTACTTGATATGCTTGACCGCTTTAACTTCTTAGAGAATTCCATAAAAAACCCTAATTTCCCTAAACATGTTACCAATAAAATTAACAGTCGAAGCCTTATGCCGACGCGACATGGATTTATATAAAGCGGATATTGTATTAAAATTCATGTTGAAAGAACTATCCAAAATTAAAATACCACTCAGCACAGATCTACAAGACTCGTTAAGAAAAAGGATTAATAGGTCAATTCTGCGCACATCTGTAAGCATCTATAAGCAAATCTGTAACTTTCTATAAGCTTATAGACAATTTGCAATTCCGCGCTTCCTGTAGCTTACAGAAAATCTTATAGAATCGTAAATATTTACGATCGGGTGTTTCCCAATCGTTGCTAGTTACAGTTTGTTTTTGTTAGGTTATGTAAAGCTATTTTAAAGATTAAACACATGAATATTTTTAATAATGTCAATGTGGATATGATAATGGTAATATTTATCAATTGGGACAAGCAGCCTGGGCTAACTACATTAGAAATAAGTTCAATTTTGACTAAATAAAACAATAATTGTATCAATACAAAAACTTTATATTTTTATTTTACATATGAAAATAAAATAAAATATTCTTAAAAAAATAAACCACAGCCTACTCGGTAAAAAAAGAATTAAACAACAAAATAAATAAATATTCTAATTAGTCAAAAATTAGGTATTAGGTCAAATATCAAAATTTGGATTTAAAATTTTAATTTTTTTCATTTCAAATCCTAATTGTTCTTCTTTCAGCTTTATATAATTTTCTAAATAGTTTTTAATAAGCTCAAAATGTTTTTTTTTTGATTTTCTGCTCCTTGTTCAAATTTATCCTACCATGGTTGGCCCAATGGATAATCTCCATCCATTGCATCCAAATATAGTTCAACTGTTGAGGAGTGGTGTTTTTTATCTTTTTCTCTTTGTTGCTTTTGCGTTACCACTAACCATTGATTGACTTCTTTACTCAACGCACTAACAATTTTATTCATTATATGTTATATGTTCTTTTAAATGTAAAATTATCTTACCTCATTTTATTCATCAACCAGTTTAAATTTCTTACTTTTTGTATTATATTATATGCTGATACATAAATGAAAACCGATAAACTGTGGATAAACCAAATAATCCATATAAAAATATAGGTTATGTCTGATCGTAAGTAAATCGGCGTGAAGTTGCAGTAGTTCGTTTATACTACTTTAAATTGGACATTTACAGATAACATCCCAGAATTGCCACTTTTACGATTCTATAAGCATTATAGTTACAGATCATCGTAAGCTATAGATTTACGAATTTACAGAAATTTTACGAGAGAACCCAGAATTGACCTATAAGCAACGCAGAACCATTTATTCTGATATTCTCAGCTTTCTCACAAATCCCGACTCTTTAAACTCTGAACCAGATGATTGCTTTAAAACATTAAATATTTCTCTAATTAAATCTGAACTAGAAAAACTTTTAATCAGGCTAGACAATAAAGATGCATCCGAAAGAGAGACCAGCAACGACAGTGACGAGGATCAGATTTCCATTGCAGAAATTCTGAGGAGAGCCGAAAATGAACCCTTAAAGGTTAAGCTGCAGAAGGCATTACAACAATGTTCAGAGCCAATGCAAAAGAAGACAAAAAATAGTAATAAGCCATTGCCTGACATAATTACTAAATAAATTGATTTATTTGCAAATGGTGGTAGTCGGGAACTCAATCTTCAAAAGGCCTTTGATTTTTTATTAACCATTCAGCCCACAAGCGTGGAATCTGAGAGATGTTTTTCTTCTGCAGGATTTTTATGCAACAAAATACGTTCGAGGCTGGGAGATGAAACTTTAGACGCACTAATATATTTGCGGTATTTTTTTAAAAATTTATAAACCTTTAAGTTTGTTTAAGAGTTTTTTTTTTAATTTTCCTTTTTTACAATAAAAGTTTTTGATTGTTATGTGATTTATTATTTGATTTGAGTATTTTTGTTAATTTTCCTTTTTTACAATAAAAGTTTTTGAATGTAATTTGATTTTTTTTGAAACATCCATTCCCGGGATTAGTAGTACAAATCTCGAAAATCCCGGGATTACGAAAACCTTTCGGGATTGACATCCCTAATGACTACCCTTGTTATTGTTATCCTTAGCCGTAAATTCGTAAGCAATTTATAATTTTAAAAAATCAGTGGTTTATCCCTCGTAAACAATAATAATAATAACAATAATGCTCTTTATTTCTTAAAATAATTACATATGCAAACAAATTTTTAATAAAAATAGTGTCCTAAGAAGGATTTTCGTACCAAACATTTTATAAATGATTATTTTCAATTGTTTATCAGTACAATTTCTTGTAATTAAGTTTTTTCTACAGTAAGGTGAAACAATCAAGCATTCTCGACCTCTATACTGAAGAAACGGCTTTTGCACAGTGGGGCAAACAATTGCTCACAACAGTTTCCAAATGTCAGCAGACTACAAGACCAGCAAGGATAGGTCCTAGCGTACTAACCAACCAAACCTCATTCATGTACCCCAAATAAATGGCCGCATTACTAAATCCCTGAATGAGGGGGATTTCGGATTGTACTTAGTTTTGGGCCAGTCCAATGTCACCTAAAAACCAACATGTTTTCCCTCCTTGTCCCGCACTCCACCCTGTCATCCACGACCTCCTAGGTGAGATTTACCAACCGGGGTAAAAATTCGGACCCACCAAACACAGGTAATGCTGTGCAGTGACAGGATACATAGAAGAACTAAAAGGGGGTAAAATAACCCAGTGCAAGGCGTTGCCGATGGAGCCTGCCATACGTTCCTACTCATACTCATCAGTGGCGTGCAGTGCTACTTAAAGCAAGGTAGGCATTTTTATTAAAGTCAAAATCTAATATAAATATAACTTACCCCAAGTCTGGAAATCGATTCTATGTCCAAAATATCTTAGATCGTCTATAATGTTTATGTATATTTAAACTTTAAAAATCGCACTTAATGTCACACGAAACTAACTTAGTCAATGTTAATGTTAAAACTGCACAATGTGCAGTGCACATACCTGACGAACTTTTCTGTCGCACAGAATTAAGTAATTAGTAATATAGTATTCCAATCGCATTAGAATTATTTGTAAATTAAGTCTAAGCGGCGATCTTTTTTTAAAAATTCTTTTAAAACGTCATCATAAAAATTGGTTGTTTGCTTTAAGTCCTGCATTAGGTCACTTTCCAAAGAGATTATTGCTAAATTACTTAACCGTTCTTGTCCCTGTGTATTTCGTAAATAAGTGTGAATTCTTTTTAAACCAGAAAACGAACGTTCTGCAGACGCACTACTAGCTGGTATAGTTAACATCAATTTTCCTAACAATACTAATTGAGGAAACACGTGGCACATCTTGTCTTCACAAAACCTAATTAATTCATAAGCATTAAGCTTAGCAAATTCGGATGAAGAATACAAACAATGCAATTTGTTTTTCAGTCGGTGAAAATCAAATTTTTCGGTATACTTTTAATTCCGAAAAAATCACTTCTGGAAACTCAGATTTGAATAAAGGAAACGAATCTGGATCTAAAAGACAAAAAAAGCGTAACTGTCCTATTTCTCTATAGCGATCACAAATTTCGGTTTTGATGTTATCCACTATTTCTCTAAAAATTCTTCTATAATGTGAGGTTAGATCAGTTATATTTCGTTTTTTTTTTTGGTTCTCCAAAAAAATTAACATTTTTTGTATAAATGTTTTCATTTTCTTCGTAAAAATGGTCAATAAATAATTTAAAATCCTCAATTTTTTTCATGCAGTATCCGATATCTACAATTTTAGATTGTATTATATTAAAAAGTATATCGGTTTCCTTAAATATTCTGTTAAATATTTCTAAAAAATAATTAAATTCAAAACTATTTAAAATAATTTCATATGTGCCAGCAGATGAGAGAGTTTCTCCGTCCCAATTGGCTGGATTTTCGCTCATTTCCGTAAATACTTGTATTAAATTTTTATGTTCACTACAGATAACATTAACAGTTCTAGAATTATACGCCCATCGGGTTACTGCAACGCGTGGTAATTTTTTTGAACAAAATTTATTGTACTTGTACAATAAATTTTGTTCAAAAAAATTACCACTTGTAAGTCGGATCGTTTGGTACTATCTAATACATCAATTTAATTTATATAATTAATTTCCATCGACTCCAATAAATTCAGTTTCATACAATTAAAGAAAAAAACAGGTATTATTCTCAATGTCAGTGTTATATAACTATAGAGATTACATCCCCATAATTATTGTTCCTTTATTGTATAACGTTAATTTAATCTTCCCCAATATTGTACTAAAAATATTACATGTAAAACCATCATTTATATAAAAGTAAAATAAATATTAGTTTGTATACGATCTGGAGATGCTACTGTGTAGCGAAACAATTGTCATATTTAAATAAAATAGTGAAACTTTTAAACAGTGTAGTTTATATTAAAATAAAACAATATTAACATGTAGTTTCATCAAGTAAAAGTCGAAACAATTAACCATTTTTTATTATTTTAGGTTATTAAAATATTAAAATTGACTTTATCAATCAGCTGATCGCCACCCGCACCCAAGACAACGCTTCTTACTCTCACTAACAAATTTTGCCCCCACCTACATAAAAGCACTGCTTTAAAACTGCTGTACGTTTGAATACGAAATAAGATTTTGTGCTTGCCCAATCTATTCTATGCGATGCTTATAAGCATCGCATAGAATACGTAAAACGAATCTGCGTTTCACCGTGATAGTATCACATTGATACAATAAATGGCAAAAGTAAAGGCACCTATAAATTGGTTAATAAATATGTTATTAAATATTTAAAACCCAAGTTATTAAATATTATTTATTATGTAAGTTTACCTACATTAAATTTAAAAAAATAGTAAATTTTAACTATTCCAAGGTAAGCAAT